ATAGGGCGCTCGGCACGTTTCATAGTTCTGGAAGATTCTCATCATTTCATTATAGTATTTGTCATCGGCGTATGACTCACTTTCCTATTAGTCATTCTATTACTCACACGTCTATGACTCATTGTATTTCTTTTGTACTACATTTCCTTAGTATAAATACGGGGCATTCCCCCTTAGCTAGCACAATCAACACGATCAATTACTTTACTTCTCCTACATACTTTCTTTAGGTTATGAGCCCGGAGACCACTCACGCTTACACACTCTTCACCATTTTTACCACAAAGTACACTTTCTCGTTTCACTTTCAATCATGTCTGAGAGGAGCATCAAAATTCCCGCACTCCCATGCAAGCTGGATGGTCAAGGCCATTACACGGTATGGAGGGACCTTGCTACCCGCATGTTGAAAGTTCACGATCTGTGGAACTTGGTCAATGGTTCGAGCAAGCGTCCCGTGTTGACAACCACCACCACTACTGTACCTACCACGGCACCACAAGCATCAGGAAGCGTAGCTGAGGCTGAAGAAGACGAAGAAGAAACCTCCGACAACGCCGAAGAAATCAGCGACTGGGACAAAAAGGACAACCTTGCAGTTGTATTCCTTCAATCTAACATCGAATTCGAAGTTATTCTCACGCTGACACCGGCCGACACCGCTCATCACCTCTGGACTCAACTCGAGGACAGATTCGATCGGAAAACCGTCACCTCCCTCCACTCGCTCCTCGCCAATGTCGTCACACTACAGTACACACCCGACAAGGGTATCAAGGAACATCTAACCCAGTTCAACACTCTTTGGTCATCTCTCCTCACTAGAACTAGTAACTCTACGGACAAGACCAAAGACCCACTCGGTTACCACCTTCACCAACTCGCATCTGTCTCAGAAGCGAAGGCATCCTTCCTACTCCTCTCACTCCGGCACGAATCCCTCGAATCAGTCGTTGACAACCTGCAAACCAAGCCCAACGTCACCTTCGATGACGTCTACGAAAAGCTGTTGGATCTGGACTCACGGCGCAACAACGATGGACAGGCGGCTGGAGAAGCCTACACAATCAGGCGAGGAAACCCAGGACATGGAAACAACAACAGAGTCAGGAGGCCACGTAACAACGAAACAGGAAATCGGGACGTTACATGCACCTGGTGCACCAAGAATGGAGAATATGCAAAAGGCCACACGCACAAAAATTGCCGGAAACTCAAAGCTTTCAGAGACAAGGAGAAGTCCGCTGCATCTGGCAATCTCAACGTCGCGTCTGGTACTGCATTTCACACAAAACTTGACCTCTCTTGGATCCCCGATCTTTCTGGCCTTCCCGCACTCGAAGAAACCGATGTATTCACAATGCCGGTTGACTTCGACCTTACCAACTTCTCAGATGACACCTCGGATATAACCATGGAAGACTACTTTGGCTTCATTGCAGGACCTTCCACTACCGACAACAAGGCATAGATCTTCGACCCTGGTGCGACCAACCACATGACCGGAACGCTGGTTACCGACCCCACTCCCCATACTGGAACAGTTACTGTTGGAGGAGGTCGCAAACTCCAGATAACCGGAATCGGCAACTGCACAATCAACGGATCACATGGCCTGATCACTCTGCAGAACGTATTCTTGATCCCCGAATTAGGCAATACCAACCTGATGTCTTGGTCTTGCATCGCTAAGAAGGGATTCACAACAATTGGGACGGAAGACGGCTTTACCATCTACAAACCTAACAGCAAGGAAATCATCGGGATCGCTAACGCAAATAGTACTGGTCTTTATATTTTTGAAACCAAGGAACCATGCGCACACCTCTCTGCCGCCAGCAGCTTCTATGACTGGCACCAACGGCTCGGACATCTCCCCGCTTCCTCGCTCTCACGGCTTCGCACCATGGTCGCCGACCCCAAATCTCTCCCCACATCTGGTCACATGGAAACATGCAACACATGTGAACTCGCTAAATCAACCAAGTCTCACCTCGCTCCTCTCACCGAATCACAATCCAAACAACCACTGGAACTAATACACTCAGATCTGAGCGGCAAGTTCTCGACTCCTTCTCTGGGCGGTTTCAGCTACTATATCACTTTCATCGACGATTACTCCAGGTACGCTCACCTCTACTTCCTCAAAAAGAAGTCAGATGCAGCAGCTGCCACAGAACGATACATCGCATACATGGAAAATTAATTGGACAAAACGGTTAAACGATTTCGAAGCGACAACGGTGGCGAGTACATCTCCAATGACCTTCAACAATTTTTCGCCTCTAAAGGCATAAAGCATGAATTCACTGTACCTTACTCTCATGAGTCAAATGGAACAGCAGAACGCTTTAACAGGACTATAGCAACAATGGCACGATCCGCCTTGCTCGACCACAACCTCCCAAAAAATCTATGGGCAGAAGCGATCAACACCATGGTACGCGTCAAAAATCGACTCCCGCACAAATCACTCCCGAACATGACACCATACGAAGCACTCACCAGCAAGAAACCCTTTATTGGGCACCTCCGATCCTTCGGTGAAACCATGTTCATACACATACCCGTCGAAGCACGACCAGCTGGAACAAAACTGGATGCTAGGGCTATAACGGGACAATTCTGCGGATACGGAGATTCTGAAAAAATCTGTCGCGTCTACATACCATCACAAAGGAAAGTAGTTCTCTCTCGTCATGTTAGGTTTAAAGGTACATCCGTAGGGGAAGAAATCGAAGTCAAAACAAAAACCGACACACCCCCTAAACCAAAACAAATCGAGATCAAACAAGAACCATCCTCATGTCCGTCAACACCAAAACAACATAGAATATACGACGACGACCCAAGTGACGACGACATGATCAACCAACAAATAATGCGCGAAACCATGGAACATTTCTCCGACACTGACTCGGAAGACCACGCAAGTATAGTGGGGGCCGGCTATACGAGGCCCGCCACTGAACGTACCCCGCATGATGATAATGAAACAGATACTAATCAACCGAGACGTAACCCAGTACGGGAACGGAAAGCTCCGGTCAGATACGGACACAACATTCACCATGACACTACCCTAACAGAACCAACAAACTATCACCAAGCGATCAACAGTCCTGACTCCGAAAAATGGCAGAATGCTATGAAAGTTGAACTCGACTCACTCGCAAGGAATAATACATGGAATCTGGTCAACACACCGGATCACCGCAAACTGGTCGACTGCAAATGGGTATACAAAATCAAACTCGGGCCCGATGGCAACCCCATACGGTACAAAGCCCGACTAGTCGCAAAAGGCTTCTCACAGGTCCCTGGTCAAGATTTTGATCAAACCTATGCCCCCGTCACTCGATATGAATCCATCAGACTACTCCTCGCTCGCTGCCTTCAAACCGGCGGCCAATGCGATCAGATGGACGTCACAAGCGCATTTCTATACGGCGAACTTAAGGAAGAAATCTACATGAAATCTCCTCCAGGCTATCCCACTCCCGGGAAAGCATGCAAACTAATCAAATGCATCTACGGACTCAAACAATCATCAAGGGAATGGTATGCCCGCCTCTCAAAAGCGCTAATCAAAATAGGATTCAGAAAAGCAGACTTCGATCCTTGTGTCTTCATACACAAAACAGGGGAAGTTGTCATCGCAATATACGTAGACGATATCCTCATCTTCTACTGGTGCGTTGAACGCAAAAACCGCGTCAGCCTCCTCCTCCATTCTGAATTCGAAATGACGGAAACTGGCACAGCCAACTGGGCACTCGGAATCCACCTGATCCACACTAAGACTGGCATCATCCTATCACAGGAAGCCTATCTCAAGCGTGTACTTATCAAATACGGCTTCGACGAATCCAGACCTGTGGCAACACCCATCGACAACAACGTCCACCTCCAAAAAGGAACGGAAGCTGAGAAAATCGACGATCCAACAATATATCAGTCAATAATCGGTTCACTCATGTATGCAGTAATCGGCACTAGACCCGATCTCGCCTACACCGTCACCATGCTCTCACAATTTTCCTCTTGTCCCACCAAGGCCCATCTAGCTGCAGTCCATCGCGTCCTCCGTTACCTCAAGGGTACCCTCGATTGGTCACTCTTCTATGCCAAAACGCCACCAACTGCACTCATAGGCTATAGCGACGCAAGCTATGCCTCCGACATCGACGATCGCCGCTCATTCACCGGCCATTGCTTTATGCTAGGGGAAGCTCTTATCTCCTGGCGTTCTTATAAGCAACGATCTGTCGCCACTTCCACAACAGAAGCGGAATACATGGCCCTCTCAGACACCAGTCGACAACTGATCTGGTTAAGGAATGCAATCCACGAGCTGGAACGAAAACCGAATCTCTCTTTTATTCTTCGAGGCGACAACAACGGCTCTCTCTCTTTGGTTAAAAATCCTGTCTTTCATAAAAGGTCTAAACATATTGACGTACATTTTCACTTTGTTCGGGAACGGTTTGAGGATGAATTATTTGAACTAGAATATATTTCTACGAACGAGAACGTGGCGGATTTACTTACAAAGGGTTTGGATAAAGGCAAACATGTTTTATTTTCTTCTACTATTCACTGTGGCTCACGAGGGGAAGTCTTGAAATAGGGCGCTCGGCACGTTTCATAGTTCTGGAAGATTCTCATCATTTCATTATAGTATTTGTCATCGGCGTATGACTCACTCTCCTATTAGTCATTCTATTACTCACACGTCTATGACTCATTGTATTTCTTTTGTACTACATTTCCTTAGTATAAATACGGGGCATTCCCCCTTAGCTAGCACAATCAACACGATCAATTACTTTACTTCTCCTACATACTTTCTCTAGTTATCTCCCCCAGATTCACAGCCTCCATGTACCTTCATAAGCTGATATATGTGATGGCGATGTAGCGAATCGCAAGAACAGGCTCTGAATGGCATGCATGAATTACAAAAGCAGGTAGCAGAACTGGTACGCATCAACGCCGAAATGGCACATAAGCTCGAGTCGGTCACAGCTGGATCCGCCTTATCATCAGGGGCCAGCATCGCAGGGAGTGTCACGAGTATGCGAAGTGTGGTTTCGTTCTCTTCAGTCAGGACGAACTTTGAAGTCACCCTGAGAAATAGTCGGATATACAGGCGGGCACTAGTAGAGCGCGTAAATAAGCCCAGGCCGCCAGCCGAACAAGCCTCCGCTCCATCAATTCAACAATCATGGTCGGTACTCTCAGGCATCAGCCTTTCTGAAGTATCAAACTATTCTGTTTACTCTTTGCCTATCTCTCCGCAAGAACTCTATAATCCAACTTGGTACACAACATCCGCCCAGGTTGTCACGCTTCAGCCCAATACGCCCGAACTCCCAAGCTTGCTCACGGCAACTTTCGCAGAGAGCCTCAAGATTGCTCTGAAGCACAAGGATATGGAGACTGCAAAGACCATTGCCAACTACATACCCTGGAACGTCGTCCTGCGAATGAGTGCAGTATACCCCACACTCGTAGCTTCGAAGAGCCTTGAGAACGTACTTGATAGTTTAACTCTTTTCAAATGGTGGCTGAAGTGTGGAGGTGACATAAAAGTCAAGGATCAGGATGGTCGAACCGCCATCATGAAAGGGGTGAAAGATGAAAATTGGAGGGTTCTTGATCTCCTTATCCCAAATGGGCTAAATATCCACTCGCCAGCATCCCCACTTCATATTGTGTCGGGAGGGGAGGGTAAGGACTTTGTGCTTGGGCTTTATCAAGATATCAAAGCGAAAGATAAAGTAGAGACAACCCCGATGGATTGCGGTTTGGGGGGTAAGCGTGCGTTTGTGGCTAAGGTCCTTCTTGAGCTTGGACTAAATATCAACGCCCGAGACATTGGAGAGGGGACCGCACTCCATGAGGCTTGCTTGAACGGACATGGGGAGGTGGTAGAGGTTCTGCTTAGCCACGGTGCAGATATCGAAGCCAAGGATAGGCAAGGCGGTAGCGCACTCCATGTCGCTTGCAGGAACGGACATCGGGAGGTGGTAGAGGTTCTGCTTAGCCACGGGGCTGATGTAAATGCCGAGAATGAGCAGGGCGAGAGCGCACTCCATCACGCTTGCTGGAACGGAGATCGGGAGATGGTAGAGGTTCTGCTTAGCCACGGGGCTGATGTAAATGCCGAGAATGGGCAGGGCGAGAGCGCACTCCATGACGCTTGCTGGAACGGACATCGGGAGGTGGTAGAGGTTCTGCTTAGTCACGGGGCAGATATCGAAGCCCAGGATAGGCAAGGCGATAGCGCACTCCATGTCGCTTGCAGGAACGGACATCGGGAGGTGGTAGAGGTACTGCTTAGCCACGGCGCAGATATCGAAGCCAAGGATAGGCAAGGCAATAGCGCACTCCATGACGCTTGCAGGAACGGACATCGGGAGGTGGTAGAGGTTCTGCTTAGCCACGGTGCAGATATCAAAGCCAGGAATGATGCTGGGGCGGCGGCGCTCCATCGCGCTTCCTTCGGCGGATATCGGGAGGTGGTACAGGTTCTGCTTAGCCACGGGGTGGATATAGAGGCCAAGGATAGGCAAGGCCATAGCGCACTCCATCACGCTTCCTGGAAAGGACATTGGGTGGTGGTAGAGGTTCTGCTTAGCCACGGCGCAAATATCGAAGCCAAGGATAGGCAAGGCGATAGCGCACTCCATGTCGCTTGCGGGGACAGAAAACCAGAGGTGGTAGAGGTTCTGCTTCGCCACGGTGCAGATATCAAAGCTAAGAATGATGCTGGGGCGGCGGCACTCCATCGCGCTTGCTTGATCGCACATCGGGAGGTGGTAGAGGTTCTGCTTCGCCACGGTGCAGATATCAAAGCCAAGAATGATGCTGGGGCGGCGGCGCTCCATCGCGCTTGCTTGAACGGACATCGGGAGGTGGTAGAGGTTCTGCTTAGCCACGGGGCGGATATAGAGGCCAAGGATAGGCAAGGCTATAGCGCACTCCATCGCGCTTGCTGGAACGGACATCGGGAGGTGGTAGAGGTACTGCTTAGCCACGGGGCGGATATCGAAGCCATGAATAACGCAAGGATGACGGCACTTGGCTGCGCTTACTCGAAGGGACACGGGTCAGTGGTTGAGATGCTGCTTAGCCACGAGTCAAATATAAAGTCCAAGTAAGAGAAGGATCTTACCGTACTCGATCGCGCGATAAGGCGAGGGCTTAATAGCATAGTTGAGCTCTTCCTTAATCACCCAGCGGATACCAGAGAAATCTATGTCACCCTATCCAGACTCTTGTTCCTTACAGGGATCAAGTTTGAAGCCCTTCTCCAGATTAGAAGACATGCAGAAAAATGGAAACATGACCTTGATGGTTCTTATAGTTTTGGTTAAACGGAATAATTCAAAGTTCTTTTTGCTTATTCGTCCAGAACATTAGTTTGATCTTGACTGGTGTCTTCTGTAGTCTTAAATTTCCTTAACGAGAGGTGTCTCCTCGCAGCGAGGTATAAGTACTTCATAGCAGTGTTCTGAGCCAGCGATGGGCGATTCTCAACGGCGAACCATGCTGTGTATAACCTTCAAGCCGGTGTTCGTGAATATAAAAACCCAATGAACTAGCAATTAAGTACCTTTGAACTGAACCAACTGTATCAACTGGTAAAAGACGGTTTGAACTATTCTAGCCACCCAGGAAGATTGCCTCCAGTAGCTTCTGCAACTGAACTTGTTCGCACAGGAGGATTCATTCATGGACTGATCTCTGCCCCAACAAGCTAGATTTGAAGTTGTTGATGGAATAAGATGGAGAAATCCTTTCATGAAACAAATCCGTCATGCATCGGACGGCATGTCATGCAACGGACCCCCACACTAAAGCACCTCCTTTACTTCCTTTGCCCGCATCCCCCATTTAGTCTCGGGTCTTCGTCCTGTTCGGTTTAGGAATTAGAGGCATACTTTCAATTAAGTAATATCATTCCCACCAGCTCTCCAGTCTATGGAGGAAGTCTGGGGACATCCTCAGTTCGCCCAGGAAGTATCATCGGTCACAACTCTGCTAGCGGGTCAAGTAGCGGTAGTTCTTGGGACGTTAGCTAGGCGAGCCATGCTCTAGGGCTTGCGGGTGAGTTATCGCTGATAACATTCGTATTCAGTGGAATTGACACCCAGGGTACAAAATTTCGTTGCTATCACTCTTTTCTATATTACGGCTACGACCGTGAAATAAATCGATTAAGGAATAACCTCCTGGATGAACTGAATTCCCCTTACTCGTTTCTCAATTGATTGGGAACTTCAAATCCAGTTCATTGAAGAAAATACAACTCCTCCCAGGAAATCTCTTTGGAAAACCAGTTCGTTTAGACAACGCTATTGGATGAGTGATCTTCCTGGATGGGTAGCGCATGTACACAGACAGCTGTACGAGATTGAAACTTATGGCATTGCTGAGATATACATTGGAAAGGAAGACATACTTAACTCACTATTTTATCTCTACCAATAATACCAAAATATATCTAGTATTCCCTGCTATATAGCCTACTCTCCATTCAGAGGCAAACTCCAAGCCCTGATGGGGCAATTAAACAGGATTCCATAATGTGTCGCGTATCCGCTCTTCCGTCCAGGTCTAGGAGTGTAATGTGGAGTGTCAATATCCTCACCAAACCTTATAAATGCCATAATGGTTAGACCTCAAGCATTTCTTTCGCCACCTTGACATTGAACCCCGATATATAGGCTATTAGTAGACAGAAATAAAACCAATAAAGCATAGATATAACTGTTTGAGCGACAATGCCAAACCTGGGTCGATGAGCAATAGCGACATATCGGGCTAATGGTCAGCCAAGGCAATGCGCTCGGTGTGCATTTGTTGTTTACAATCGGTCCATAAACCACCATGTCAGGCTACTAGGTGTCGAACCAGGAACGACTATGGTTAAACGTAGACAACCCTCAGTAGCATCCAAATTAGCCTCATAGGTGGTCACTCGCGTCACAGCGTATCACTCGGATCAATAGATACAATTATAGCTGAAATATAGCGTCCATATCCAAGACTTATATACACAAGAGTATCCTGTGTTGTGTCTATCCAGGCTGACCGGGGGTGGAATATCATAGCGTACATTATCCCTCAAGCCATCCCTCTGCATCTACCTACATACATCCCGCAATATTGCGAACGGTAACCGGCAATCTGGAGGTATTCATGCTTGTGAAGAGACCATATAAATGGAAGAGGCTGTTTGGTTAAGTTGATGCAGTAGTGGCTTGCGGGTGCGCTCGCCTCTCGAGAGCTCTCACTAGATGGTCTTCCCATACATTATTCCGCGAAGTCACGGTACACGAATTCAAATGGGTAAATACTAAGTATACATGTAGTTTAACCACCAACTCGGTTCAACCATGGCAGGTTACTCTGGGCAATGCTGATTCGAAGACTATTGTAATATTAATGTAGGATGTTTTTAGTCAATTGCAAACGTGGTCTATTAGGAAACATCCCTAGCCTAGTTAGGAACATTGCCGCTTTCCTCCAAATAGACATCAATAAAATCTACAATCATTTGATAAGCGGTTAATATTTATCAAGTTCCACTCCCGAACATGTGGTGCCTTCTTTCTTATTGATAATGATAGTCCAAACTGATCGAGCTTGCCCCCCTCTACACTCTCCTTTATCGGTAACAGGATCAGTGTTTTGAACACTGCAGACATCTGGTCCGTAATAGCAAAACTTTCTCCAGTGAAGTGCGGTCATCACCAAACTAAAACATGGCTTCTGTGGTTAAGCGAAACAGTTATCTTATTTGACGACCTTGACAGCTATGCTTGGAGTTCAAACAAGATCCTACTTGATTGGGATTGGCTGGGGCGAGTGATATTCTGTGGTTGACAGTGGGAAATCTGTGGGTGGTACGGAAAGGCGGCGATCAAGACAAGTTATTCTCTGAGCCAGATCGTGAGAACGGCAGATCACCTCTTTCCTCGTGGTGTGCTGAGGACTATGCCTATTTCAGGCGTTGGGTTAGGCTTGATCGGAGGTGCTGTGATACGTCATGGTACAGTAGCTGTGGCCTGACCCGTAAATGATAGATGGCGGTGTAGTGGGAATGCCGACAGTGATCGCCGCAGTTTCCGCAGTGTGGTGGACGTGGTACTGTGGCATTGTCTTGCGTGTGTAGTAGGCCGATGTAGCCACTACACACTCAAATACTAGAGAGAGAGCTAAAATGTGCAGTCTGAACCTTATTCCACTTTGCGCGCTTTTCCATTCCACTTTTGCGCATTTAGCAGCCAGGTTTTCCGTGTAAAGGCATACTTCGTAGGCGGTGAACTCGCTTGGTCGGGAACGAAGGTATGCGCCTGCGTGATATCCCGACATTATTTGGTGCGCTTGTGTTAGATCGGGCTCGGAATGCGACCAGCAGAATGCCAATAACCGCAAAACATGGGCTGGCGATGAGACATACCCACAGCTCTGCCACAAGCATGTGAATAGTAATGTGCGATCATCCTAGTACTCTGGATTTTGTGTTACAGATGTTCATGGGGCTTCTCCGAACATGCGGCTAGGGCCTACAAGAACGTACGCTAAAGCACGACAAACCCTGTTAACAGCTATACTAATGCACGCCAAGATGGTGGCCGTAATATCTTCTGTGGCTTTCCGATCTCGTATGAGCGGTGGACAATGCGCGGTGTAACCACTGCACACACCCGCCGTCAGGTGCAATGCGCCTATTCCGTCGCTTTTCTGGCGCGAAATCGCAGCAGGTCCCGGAAGATCAACCTCTCTCATACAAATAGTCCCTGTTTCCGTCACTTGCATTTTCTGGTTCTTTTGCTGGTAAGCAATACACGCACTTAGCTGCACCACACACACCGCTGCGTTACACCAAATATGCCAAGCACATCTAGAGTAAGTGGGGCGATATGGGAACGGCGCGGGCCGGCCCACTGCACTAGCTCCCGCGCTATGCACTTACCCGGCAATAAGGTCCTGAAGCTTGTTTTGACGTTAGTCGGTCACGTGGATTTAACTGCTTGGTTTTCTCTCCGACCGAGATCGTATGCGTGTATCGCTTGGGTGTTACGTATGTTATTATTATTACTTGTAAGTACTCGCAAAGTCGCTTATTACATTTGCCGCGTGGAGAATGGTGAGAGTGCGAAGGGTAGCGGATCTTTGGTCTTGCTACCCTTTAGCTTGCTCCAAAAGCATGTGAGGCATATAATATGCGTTGCTAGTACTGCCCCTTGTACGTGGGGGTACAGATGTTACTTGTATACGTTCAGAATTACTGTGTCTGAGGGAGCGATAGCGAGGCTGACATTTTATGATAAAATGGGGTAGGAATTGAAGAACACGCTGAATGTACATATTCCTTGCCAAGAGTGGCCGAAAGAGGGAGAAGCACGAAGCTACACATCCCGGCATGTACGCACAAGACATGACAGGAAGTGCACGCAAAATCAGGGAAGTACAGTACACTCCATGCCGCAGTGCGGAAGAGAGCAAATTACTGGACAAGAAAAACCAACTTAGTAAGTCACCGCAACAGCTATCTAGGGGGAATGACGTAATACCGCTCACGGGCAGCGAGGTGATATACATGTGGGAAATAAGAAAGGGAAGGAATGCAATGAGGCAGGGACGGGAGGGGTGGGGAGGCGGTTTCTGCGCCCCGAAAGCACGATCGTTTTTACCGGTGACTACACCCGGGAACTGTAAACGCCGGAATCGTTTTTTCTCAGTGCTGTCTATATGCGAGCGAGTGAATGCTGAGACCTAACCCTGGACCCCAGGATAGATGCAATGGGCAAATATTGATATCCTATATCTGTAAACTCCGACACGAACCTCTACCGACCTTTGGCCACACGCCCAAGCCCCACTCTCAGTCGTACTAGAATTTCTCTTGAGTTTTTATCTCCCAACCAACCAAGCTCTGAAGAAGACATGAAAGAGAGGACCGGAAAAAGTTCATCTATGCCCCTCAGACATATCAGCAGACAGCGAAAGTACATGCTGAATATCCATTGGTGTGAACGGGCTAGCCCATGCTAGGGTTAGGGTTAGGTAGATTTTTTTTTTTTAATTCATTGATTGCATGCAATTACGGTTAGGGTTAGGTAGTATTTTGGGGAAAAGTTCTTTGCAT